AGTCCTGAGAAACTCTACAGAGCAGAGGCGCTTCAATCACAATTAATCACAAATGCTCAATCGAAGTCAGTAGCAGTGATGATACCTGTAGTAAGCAGGTGAAACAGGAGCATGAGGACACGGTGGTGCTATGTTTCCTTGCAGATCGCTTCTCTGGTTGTTTTATTGCACAACAAAATCATGTAAACATATTATGTAAATAACCCAATTTGTGTTCTGTGAAGCTGAAAAGGATATTACCTTGTTTTTGTTACTTTCGTTGCAGTTGTATGTCTTAAATGTAATTGATGTTAAAGGTGGGGTATGTAATTTTGGAGAAACCAGCTCGAGTGCGCTATAGAATTTGAAAGTACACGACAGGAAAAAATCTGCCTCTTCCTTCAGACTTCCTTACAGAGCCCCTCCTCCAACACACTTGAACGCGCACATGACCAATGAGGGCACGAGATAAGTTTGTGCACAGATGGAAGGCTGACAGGCAGGTAGGCCATCCAGTTACTTTAGCCGGGCCGGCTCAGATGATTGGTCGTGCTTTTTACAGCACCACGGCTTCCACAGATGACGTTTTTTATGTATTTATTGTCAAAGCATTTAATATATTCATCGCTATCGGGATGTTAAGAGCATTCCATGGAATATAACAACAAATAACCCCACCTTTAACTTCCTGTTTTATTTAGATGCTTTTATTTTGAAGGCGAGTTTACGCTGTTGACAGGAAATTGTTGTTGCTACGGAAACAACATGACGAAGATAAGTAATATCTTCTAAATATAAAGACGGAAGAAAGTAAAGAATAACGTGTATGTTTAAATGTTAGCACCCCCCGAAGAGGCACAAGCTCTTACATTGAGTATGGATACATTCTAAATCAGGGGTGGAGAACTTCCGGCCCCCGGGCCGTATACGGCCCGCGAGAAAATTTGATACGGCCCTCGAGGTAACACACGCAAAAAATAAAAAAAATAAAGAAATCTAGACCGCAAAATAATTAAACAAGTGAGTGCCTGTTTTTCCTGGCCAAGGTCAGGGTACTAAGATTACATTACATTACATTACATTGCATTTAGCTGACGCTTTTATCCAAATTTAGTAATTCTATCGCTTGAAGTGGAGTCGAAAGAGATGAGTAATAAGATAAGATAATGGGATAATGTGTTTGTAATGGGATCAAAAACAACAACTGTCAAACCCTTTAAAGCATTGGAAACCTAACAACATGAAGTTCTATTAATGTAAAAGACACATCATTGTGGCGACTATTTCTTTTGTTCCTATAGTCAACTAAATGGTAATAACATTTTTTTAACAAAGTTGAAGTCTCAAATATGTAATTCAGCTACTTGCTTATTATTTGCCTACGCAAACAATTGTTGCGTCTGACCTTTTTGCATGACAGATGACAAGTATGCAGGTCCCCCGCTCAAGAAGGACCATGAAAGGAACGTCTGAAGTTTGTCAATGAACATCGGAATGATTCAGAGAAGGCTTGGGATACGATGATGTGGTCAGATGAGACCTAAATCGAGATCTTTGGCATCAACTCGACACGCCGTGTTTGGAGGAAGAGAAATGCTGACTATAACCCCAGAACACCATCCCCACCGTCAGGCATGGAGGTGGACACATTATGCTCTGGGGGTGTTTCTCTGATAAGGGGACAGGACGACTTCACTGCATCGAGGAGAGGATGCACGGGGCCATGTACCGTGAACTCTTGGCCGATAGCATCCTTCCCTCAGCCAGGACACTGACAATGGGTCATGTCTTCCAGCAGGACAATAAACCTCAACATACGGCCAAGGCAACGAAGGAGTGGCTAAAGAAGAAGCACACTTAGGTGATGGAGGGGCCGAGCCAGTCTCCAGACCTTAATCCCATAGAAAATCTGTGGAGGGAGCTGAAGCTTCGAGATGCCAAGCATCAGCCTCAAAACCTTCAGGATTTGGAGAGGATCTTCAGAGAGGAGAAAAATCCTTCCTGAGATGTTCACAAACCTGGAGACCAACTACAAGAAGCGTCTGACCTCTGTCTGTCCAACAAGGGTTTCTCCACCAAGTACTAAGACAAGTGTTGCAAGGGGATCAAATACTTATTTCCCACAGTTAGATGCAAATCAATTTAATCTTTTATATAATGTCAATTTCTGAATTTTCTTTTTGATATTCTTATTCTCTCTTTTAAAATAAAGATACAATTAAAAATATAGACTGTTCATTTCTTTGTAAGTGGGTAAACTTACAAAATCTGAAAGGGATCACAGACTTATTTCCTCCACTGTGTGTCCTCCTGTAGGGTGAAATGTTGAAGATTTTTGGCCTGGATGACAAGACGCTTTTTTTTAAACAATGTAGGTAATATTTTTTAGACTATAAAGTTATTTTTGAAAAGTGAGGTTTTCAAAACATAAAGCTTTTTTAATTGTAAAGCTGCTCTAAACATTCTGAATGTGTCTCAGTTCATGTTGGTTTGCAGTAAACACCATCAGAGGGTGAACATGGACTCAAGCCTTTGCCGTGACAATAAAACCCTTTTGAGCAGCTACAACAAAGCGTTTGAAACAGGTATCCAGACACAAAGAAAATAAAGTTTGTGTAACATTAAAGCATGAACACATGTTTTACTAGAATACCCAAAGTATGAAGCTAGAAGTTAGAGCAATAATTATTTCAATGGTTTTGTGATCTTTTAAATGTATTAGCTTGTAAACTGTAAAGGTTTCTCATTATATGAAATGATCAGTGTTGTTTCAGACTTTTTGTATTTTTTTTGTTTATGGGCATGAATTTGGTTTTCCTGCTGTGCATCACCAGTCCTACGCCCACATTACTCTATTGGTCCTACCTTGTAAATGCATGTGCAAATGTAAGTAAATAAGCCTGATGTAAAAAAGGTGTCAGTTCCATATCCACTTTGCATTTGACCTAATGTATAATATAAACAGCTGCACATCTGCAGTCTCTGTCCAAAAGAGAGGAACAGGGAAGAGACAAGGATGGAAACAGTTCTTCTGATCATCATCGCCCTTTCAGGTCATTATTATTTTTATTTAAAATATATTATCTCATTAGCAATTTTTAGTACTTTCTATTTTGGTTTCCCACTGACAATTACTTAAGTTCTTTAATTTACAGTTTAACTTTAATGTAATTTGGAGAAGTTGGTTCAGTAATTGATATTGAATCTAATCAAAGTGTCTGTGTCTCTGCAGGGCTGAGCGCTGTCTCCTCACATGCTGAACGTCAGTACCATTTTGTTTCTGAAGCAAAGACCATGTCTGAAGCACAGAGATACTGCAGAGAGAAACACACAGACCTGGCCACTGTAGACAGCATGGAGGTTGTGAAGCTCCTGAACGACATGGCAGGCCAATACAACCAAGTGAGGTCACTTTTCTCTGTCTTTCAATTCAAATGACTTACATTTCTTTTAGAGTTAAATTTAAAAAGGAGAGATTATTACAGAAAGCTAAACCTGTTTTAAAGTCCTATGGGAACCTGAGTATTAAAACAGAGTTGAACATGTTTTAAGCCAAAGCTATAGCATGAAACCCTGTAATAAAGTGGAAGAGGTTCAGAGTAACAAGGCTGTGAATGAATGTTGACTTGAGGGGATTCCCTTTAGATCACCACGTACCAAGGCTGGTCTCATGAAGGCAAACCTTCTCTTTATTAAACATACACATTTTCTTCAGCAGCAGCTTTAAAAGCTTCAACAGGATGTAATCATTATAACAATGTCTTGCTTTCAGTCAGCCTGGATAGGGCTGCACGATGACCGGGACACCTGGAGGTGGTCGATGTCAGACCCAAACTTCTACGGACCGGGGGAGACGGAGTTCAGACCAAGGAAGCATGGGGAACCAAGCAACGGGCACGATGAACAATGCACATTGCTTCATCGTGATGGAACATGGCATGATTATGATTGTAATAACGCCCTCAAGTCGGTCTGCTTTGATGTCACAGGTAAGAATATAAACTTAAAATTAATATAACACATTTAAAATCATATTTTAAGCTTCTGAAATACAATGCATTGGTCTTTATCTAACTAGCGGTTCCCAACCTTTTTTCTTTGTGACTTTTTTTCTTTTGTTAGCAGTTCCACTAAAGACATTTCCCTTTTCACTAAAATTCTCACATGGTTTCATTTAAATGATAACGTACTGTAAAAGGAAATGATATATACAATACTTTGCTAACTTGTTTCAGAATTGTAGTTACGTTTCACATCTTATACATCTGTGCTAAACAGAATAAGAACAATATAGAATCAATATAATTTGAATGAAGCTTTAACCTGTAACACAGTATCTTCACATTGTTGTACTCCTGCTTTTATTAAAAGATCTGAATATTCCACCACTGATACTACTAAAGTTTCTTGCCAACATTCATGTGTTGAAAAACCCCAGAACTACAAATTACAAAGTACAAATGTGTGGGATTTAAATGTAATATTTTATATTATAAAGGCATCAATACCACCAGAGATGTGGCATTGATGTCAGGCTGTATGTCGTGGTGCCTCTACTCAGCTTCTCTGGGGTCCATTTTCAGGGCCGAATGCAGCATTTGTCCCCATTGAGAGCCCAATGAACTGGACTGATGCCCAGAGCTACTGCAGAGAACACCACACAGACCTGGCCAGTGTGAGAAACCCAGCAGAGAACCAGCAGATTGTTGATCTGTTACCTGAAGGGGGGGTTTGGATCGGCCTTTACAGAGACTCCTGGAAGTGGTCCGATGGAAGCAACTCCTCCTTCAAGTACTGGAAAGTAAATGAACCTAACTACAGTGCTTCAAAGGTTTGTGTGGCTGCAGCTTTTGACAACTCTGGAAAATGGGAGGACGCGGACTGTGGAGTGGAGAAACCATTCATCTGCTACGGACGTGAGTAAAATTCACAGCTACGTCAAAGCAAGTGATGATATTGAGTCTGTTGAAAAAGAAGACACCATAAACGTTGTGACTGATGAAGTTTGTTTGTGTTTCTAGCTGTGCCTGTTTCAATGCAAGTGATAAAGGTGAGGGTGAAGAAACCAAACGGTGTGGATCTGAACGATCAAGCTTTTCTGGATGCGATGTTGGTGGAGGTAAATCATGTTTTCTACTTTTATGCAAAAACATCACCAGAAAGGAAATTCCCATGACATGAGAACAAGAGACGAAAGAGGTAGGAAACAAAGAACTATTAAAGAATAATGAATTCAACGAAAGAAAATGCAGTAAATGAATTTCAATACGAATGAAATGGACCAAGATGACCATGAATGAAATTCTATATCCAATATAGTATTCAATACTTTGGCCACAAATAACAGGACCCAAGCATTTAGTAAGAAGACGTGTAAATATGTGCAGAAGTAAATAGCAGAAACTTAGCCACATGCCACCAAATGCATTAGGAACATGTACAAATACTATTCCATAACCTGAGGTAAGCCTTTACACTGGAAGAAATAAGGGGAACAGCTACCATTTCAGATGAGTGAGCTAAAGAGAAATCATCTGTTTTTACTGGAACGATAATGATAATGAGTTTTTGTGTCTCAGGCGAAAAAGAACCTAAGAGCCCAGGGATTGGACGACAACGTCCAAGTGGCCTGGAGGAAGCAGCCGGATGGACAAGTCTTCCACGAGGAGGAGGAGAAGAAGAGGGATGAGCTCTAAAGCTGAATTGCTGTGTGTGATTTTTATCAGAGAAAAGTGCATTTCTTTCCTCAAAGTCCTCGTGTTACAGAATTCAGCTGCAACAATGATCTGAATAATCTATCAGTAGTGAGATAAGATAAGGGTTGTAATGTTTTCTATATGGTTTTGAAGTTAATATGTTTGGGGTGTTAACTGTTCATGTATCTGCTTGACCTGCGAAAAACTGGATTTATTTTCCGATTTTGTGACTTTTTATATGTTTCTTTCAGATAAAATATAATGAGACATTTTAAAATAATATTATATTTAATAGAGGGCAATTCCAGGAAATCTTATTACCAATTAACATGATGACCTCTAATGCATCTTTACAGTCATTTCATACAACAATTTAATTCTTCATTTGAAACTTATATTTCATCCTAAAAATGTGTTGTGCAATTACTCACTGTTATTAATATCTTCAATTGAGTTAAACATTGTGTTTATTGCTCCTTTTCTTTAGGGATGCAAACTTTAAGATATGTTCCTAAAATTGGTGAATCAGCTTCCAGAATATGAAGATGTAATGTTTTCTCTGTGCTATGTGGTCATAAACTGAATCTCTTCGGGTTTTAATTCCCTCTGGCTGTGGGATATATAACAGGCATTTTACTCTTTTGTGTGACATTTGATAGATTAGATGTTATTAGATTATAAATTAAGATATTAAATAAAATTGATTACCTTTAACGTTCAAACAAATTAAATATCAGTTTTCGTTGCATGTATGTAATGTGAGGATATCTTCAAATAATTGAAATAGAAAATAATTAATTGTACTATTTTCATCCTTATTAAGGATATAAACTTGAAGCAAATGTCCTTAAATTATCTATAACCGTTTTACGTTACTCAAACACCCTTCTGGCAACAATGCTGAATATTCTCTGGTTCCAGCTTCTTAACTATTATTATAAGATTTGATGTTGTTTTTTGTCATGTATCATCATGAAATTAATATTCTGTTTTAAAAAGATAATCACGATGCAGAATAAACTATATCCAATAAAGAGATTATTTATTTGAATTATTTATTCAATGATTTCTCACATGTTGGATTATTGGTTATTGGCCAGAATGGTAATTTCCCTGATTTTAGACACTTTTTAGCCAACTGACTCTCAATGTAGATATATAGATATCTGTTGTCCTTTATTCAAGAAAATATATATTTACATCACACATTATATACACACAACACCTTGACATCAGGGGTACATAGGTACAGACACAGTAACTAAAAAGTGAACATATATATACTGTATAAACTTAGTACATTTACTTTAGCCTGTCGCGTAGGGGCCGGAGATGAGAGTTCATGTTTGGGTTTTGGGCTGTCACAATTGGGTGTTATTCACTGTGTGTGCCATAGGGTGTCGCTGTAGGATTCCCTATGGCACAGGTATTTAAGGTTTGTTTTGTCACCTGATTGAGGTGTTTTACTCATTTCATGCAGTATTTTGACAGTGTTGTGGATCTCCAAGGAGAACAGATGTATTGTCAGGTTTAGCTTCGGAGTTGATCGATTGTTGAGCTGCTTCAGCCTTACTAACTATATGCAAACACAGATTGATTTGAATGTTTTATCTGAAATCTGTAAGCAACAAACATCACAATCAGAAACGGGTTTATTGCAGGTTCACACGTACGAGGAATTTGACTTGTCATAAAATATAAAACAAAAAATTAAAAAAGACTACACAGATAGCGAACTATATTAAGAACACTGTAAAACAATATGGATAGATAGCAATAAAATAAAGCAGTAATTTACAGCGAAATAGAATGCAGTGAATTATAGAATATAAAATACGAAATATGTGCAGTAAGCAATATTTGAACAATATTTGGACATTGTGTGCATTAATGTAATGCGTATAGAGTCTGCATTATGACTGAGGTAAATTGTCAGTGGGGGGGCCGGGCCTTGTTTAAGAGGCCGGTAGCGAAGGGGAAGAAACTGTTCAGGTGGCGAGAGGTTTTGGTCCCGATGGAGCGCAGCCTCCTGCCAGAGGGGAGGGGGGTGAACAGTTTGTGTCCAGGGGTCGGCCACTATCTGCCCGCTACGAGGCGGGAAGGTCGTGGAGGGATGGCAGATTGCAGCCGATCACCTTGTCTGCAGAGCGGACGACACGCTGCAGCCTGCCCTTATCCTTGGCTGTGGCTGCGGCGTACCAGATGGTGATGGAGGAGGTGAGGATGGACTCCATGATGGAGGGGTAGAAGTTCACCATCATTGTCTTTGGCAGGTTGCAATTCTTCAGCTGCCTCAGGAACAACATCCTCTGCTGGGCTTTTTTGATTAGGGAGCAGCTGTTATGCTCCCATTTGAGGTCCTGGGCGATGATGGTGCCCAGGAAGCGGAAAGACTCCACAGCAGTTACTGGGGAGTCACACAGAGTGATGGGGGCGGGTGGGGCTGCGTTCTTCCTAAAATCTACAACCATTTCCACTGCCTTGAGAGCATTGAGCTCTAGGTGATTGTCCCTGCACCAAGTCACCAGATAGTCCCAGACTCGTCCCCACCAGAGATAAGTCCGATGAGCGTGGTGTCGTCTGCGAATTTCAGGACCTTGACAGACTGGTGACTAGAGGTGCAGCTGTTGGTGTACAGGGAGCAGAGCAGAGGGGAAAGAACGCAGCCTTGAGGAGAACCAGTGCTGATGGTCCGGGGGTCAGAGACGTGTTTCCCCAGCCTCACGTGCTGCTTCCTGTCAGACAGGAAGTCAGTGATCAACCAGCAGGTGGAGTAGGGCACGTGCAGCTGAGCTTGTCGTGCAGCAGCGCCGGGATTATGGTGTTGAAGGCAGAGCTGAAGTCCACAAACAGGATCCTGGCGTAGTAGTTTCCTGCTGTGTCCAGGTGCTGGAGGAGGAAGTGAAGGGCCATGTTGACAGCATCGTCCACAGACCTGTTGGCTCTGTAGGTGAACTTCAGGGGGTCCAGGAGGGGGTCTGTGATGGATTTTAGGTGTGATAGGACAAGGCGCTCAAAGGACTTCATAACCACAGAGGTCAGGGCGACGGGTCTGTAGTCGTTTAATCCTGAGATCCTGTTTTCTTGGGAACCGGGATGATGGTGGACTGCTCATTCTCATGCCATTATTTATGAAACTAGACCTGGACTAAAAAAACATAAAGAACAACGAAGCAATTATAATTTATATTTCTCAATCTTGAATATCAAGCCATGCCAGAGACATGGATCTAGAGATGGAAAAGTTAGTCTGCCTTTCGTTCCACCTCTCTTGTCCGGACTCAAATACAGCGGAGGAAATAATGATTTGATCCCTTGCCGATTTTGTAAGTTTAACCACTTACAAAGAAATTAACAGTTTATAATTGTAATGGTAGGTTTATTTTACTAACAAGAGACAGAATATAAAAAAGGATATCCAGAAATGTACATCATATAAGAGATATCAATTAATTTGCATTAAGTTGTGGGAAATAAGTTGGACACACGATAAAGGAAATGTTCAAATTCGGCTCTGATCGTAACAACATCGGGCCATTCGTGAGGGCATCTTAAGCCATCGTATGACCGCCGGTGGAGTTTCTCAGGCTCCGGCAGCAACTTCGTGAGCAGTGGCAAAATCTTTGGCATGCCAAAAAATTGCCAAAATACCATACGAAGGTTCATTTTCGTGTTGAATTAGTGTGTCCATTTTGCCCTTCGTAAGGCCATCGTGAGGGCATCTTGTCAAATCGTGTCGTTTACTTTGTGTGATCATCGGTGCCATCGGGCATTTTTCGCCTCACGAAGACAATACGAAGGAAACAATAAGCTGCCCGATTGTCTTAGGAAGGCAACACGACTACGTGAAGCCCTCACAATGCCGTCGTGTAGTCATCGTATTATAGTACAATGACATCGAGATGGGACCACGCCACGGTATCGGCGAAGACAGCCGAATTTGAGTAGCTCAAGTGTTTCCCATGTGTCATGGTAACGTGGACGTATTAAAAGGCCAGCCTCAGAGCATCTTCCTCAGTCAGTCCTGAGAAACTCTACAGAGCAGAGGCGCTTCAATCACAATTAATCACAAATGCTCAATCGAAGTCAGTAGCAGTGATGATACCTGTAGTAAGCAGGTGAAACAGGAGCATGAGGACACGGTGTGCTATGTTTCCTTGCAGATCGCTTCTCTGGTTGTTTTATTGCACAACAAAATCATGTAAACATATTATGTAAATAATCCAATTTGTGTTCTGTGAAGCTGAAAATGATATTATCTTGTTTTTGTTACTTTCGTTGCAGTTGTATGTCTTAAATGTAATTGATGTTAAAGGTGGGGTATGTAATTTTGGAGAAACCAGCTCGAGTGCGCTAGAATTTGAAAGTACACGACAGGAAAAAATCTGCCTCTTCCTTCAGACTTCCTTACAGAGCCCCTCCTCCAACACACTTGAACGCGCACATGACCAATGAGGGCACGATATAAGTTTGTGCACAGATGGAAGGCTGACAGGCAGGTAGGCCATCCAGTTATTTTAGCCGGGCCGGCTCAGATGATTGGTCCGTAATGTTCTGCACAACATCACATGGGTAAAATGAGCTTATTGTTGCCCTGCAAAATCACATTTGGTGTATTTCCAAAAAGCTGTGAAAATACACCTATATCAGTCATGTCCTGTAAAATAGCATTTTGTGTTTATTTCCATCATTCAGGCAAATACACATATATTTGTCCGCTCCAGGAGCTTCAAAGTGCAGACCTCTGAGCCCTGTAAAATATTATTATTCCGACCGCCAAGCACCGGCATGTGGACCCGGGCAGGAGGCCCAAAAGTACCCCAAAATAGTGTTCCATAAGGCGGGTAGAGTCCCCTGATAACTCTCCTTGCATTCCTCCAGAGTCAGAAAAAGTCTAAGTTAACTTTTGGAAGAATCAGAGAAAAGGGTGAAAATGGATAAATTGTATCCGAAAATAGTGTCTCTTAAGGCGGGTAGAGTCCCCTGACAACTCCCCTTACATTCCTCCAGAGTCAGAAAAAGTACAAGTTAACTTTTGGAAGAACCAGAGAAAAGGGTGAAAATTGATAAATTGTATCTGAAAATAGTGTCTCTTAAGGCGGGTAGAGTCCCCTGACAACTCTCCCTACATTCCTCCAGAGTCAGAAACAGTTTAAGGTAACTTTTGGAAGAACCAGAGAAAAGGGTGAAAATGGATAAATGGTATCCGAAAATAGTGTTCCATAGGCGTGGAGAGTATGCCCAAACTCCCCTTGCATTCCTCCAGAGTCAGAAAAAGTATAAATTAACTTTTGGAAGAACCAGAGAAAGGGGTGAAAATGGATAAAATGTATCCGAAAATAGTGTCTCATTATTCCGTGACAACTCCCCTTGAATTCCTCCAGAGACCAGTTCAAAAACTTAAAGTTTTGTAAGAACCATGATTGGGGGTCCTCCAGGCACCAATTGTATCCGATCCAAAGTGCTCATGCAGCGGATGCATTCCTCCATGATTTCCCCATCATGTGAAATAGGCCATTTTTTTCTAAGTGCTCTCAAAAACCGGGTTTCTGATTTCGTGCAGATGGTAGCTTGGAAAAGATGAATGAATTTTTTGGACGGAGGAAGGGAGGTCTCGATTCCCCTCTCCGTTGTAAAAATGCAACGGGGTAGTGCAAATGTCTCCGGGGCTTCCGCCGGAAGCGCCGAAGACTTGAGCTTTTGTGAGCCCCTGCTCCGTTGGCACTTAGCCATTTTTTCGAGAATTTTTTTAAACTTCATTTTTGATTATTTTAAGATATAATTGACCGTTTTATTTACTTTTTTTTGCTTTCCACGGGTGGGGGTGCATGGCAGGCCGCATATGATCTCCCAAAATTTGGGCTGGAACCTCCGGG